GATGGCGGGTGGAGACCCTTGTGCTTCGATCACACTGGGCAACTCTAGAGACCAACCATTTAACTCATTGGTTAGTTTCCTTACCACCCGGAGAGCACGCAAGATTTCCCTGAGAATCTGTTGAGTTTTTCCATCACCGTAGGTCAAAGTTTTCTAAAATGGGCTATGCAGGGCACTGAGCCCCTGATACTCCTGGAAAAGAAAAAGAACTCGTAGCTAGAAAGGTTTGAATATATTATTATCCTCTTGGGGATTCACATAAGCATATTAAAGGTTCAGAGAAGTTCAACATAAAGACAAGTTTTTAATCTTGTTTAAGCTATCTTTTCCCACACCCTTGTGAGTACAGATTTCTTTTCTCCTGACATGTAATAACATCCCGCACGTCAGAGAATGTTGCTCCAGGTATTCTAAGTTTGATCCTCACGTTAAGCCAGACTCTTGGAGAATGACATACCTGGATCTCCTGGCGATGGCTCCTTGTAGAAGAGGATTTGCTATTGTGTCATTAGCCTGCTCAAGGGTCATTTCAGGAAAGAGACATAGGGAATGTGCCATTATATTCAGTGTGGGCATCTCGTTAAGTATGTAATCCACATTATTACATACTAGACCAATTATAAAGACCCACAAAGAAATTCCTACTTTATGTTATGGACCCATGTATTAGTTTCCTGTGGCTGCCGTAACAAATTATCACAAAGTTGGTGGATTAAAACCACACAAACTTATTTTACAGTTCCAGAGATCAGAAGTATGAGATGGGTCTCACTGGGCTAACATCAAAGTATTGGCAGAGCTGTGTTCCTTCTCTAGACTCTAAGGAGAATCCATTTTCTTGCCTTTTCTAGCCTCTAGAGGCTGCCTGCATCCCTTGACACATGGCCCCTGTCCATCTTCAAAGCCAACAACAGCCAGTTAATTCTTTGTCCTAATTATAACTTTCTAGTTCTTGCTCTTCTGTCTCCCTTTTCCACATGTAAAGGACCCTTGTGATTACATGAGACCTACCCAGATAACCCAGAATAATTTCCTTATTTTAAGGTCAGCTGACTAACAACCCTAATTCCATCTTCAGCCTTCTATCCCTCTTGCCATGTAACCTGACGTATTCACAGGTTCCGGGGAGTAGGACACAGACATCTTTGGAGAGCTGTTATTCTGGCTACCACAACCCAGCGTGCATGTTGTTCTCTTTGCTTTGGCTTCTAGGATGCTCAGAGCTATTTAGTAACTGTACTGGCCTTCATCTTATTTTCCTGTCCTTACTTTCATTTTGTTCCCATATCATTCTCTTCCAAAGTTCATGTCTTCACACATGCTCACACATATATAAACCATATCAAAATGTAGTAGAAATAATCACTACTAGTAATAAAGCTCTAGAACAGGGGTCAGCAAACTACAGCCATGGGCCAAATTTGGTCCACCTCCTGGTTTTGTAAATAAAATTCTATTCAAATACAGCTGCTATTTTTCTGATACAAGGACAGAATCGAGCAGTTGTGGCACAGACTGTAGGATCCACAAAGAAGAAAATATTTACTATCTGGCCCTTTGCAGAAAAAGTTTGCCACCTCTGCTCTAGATACTGAGGCTTAATGGCATTCTGCTGTCTTTCTTTCTTTGCTGCAAAGGGAGATGTTGGGTCAGAAAATCACTGAAACATGTTGCATAATTACCTCTATTGTCATTTTCAAGTTTTGGCTTTAGTAGAGGGTTGTAAAATGACCCAGAGAATCTGGGACAATGTGAGTATAATCTAAGTCACTTAATAAAATAAAATGACATGTTTATCGTATTAAGTTAGATTGTATCTACATATTTTCAAAAGGTTGTAACAGTGGCATAAGACTCTGATTAGGTCTTGTTTATCAGTGGTTTCTACCTGGGCCACACACAGACACATACACACACCCTGCTGCCCGCTCTGCTCAGCCTCTGGAAGTCTGAGAAGGAAGTGACTGTCGGCTTTGAGCTATTCTTAACATTCTACAAGTCTAATGAGATTGGACATTCACCCTTATTATACATCACTGATGGTTTCAAAATGGGACCACAACATTTTAATAAATACATTTGTCTACTAGACAAAAATTATAATAAAAGATACCTGCGAAAATAATAATGTTGGAAATCTCTAGAATATAGTCTGTTTCCAAAATTCATGCAATTTTTATTTACCTTTCCTTTAAATCGGTGTGCAATATATGAATTATGAACTGTGTAGATGATGACGTTCTTTATGACCATTCCCAGTGAAGCAGATTTGAATTTTCTCTAAAGGTTGTCTGCATTTTAAGCAATCTTTATTTAAAGCAACAGTTCTGTGGGCCTTATGACTAAGAATCTTAATTTTGAGCACAGTTTATAAATAGAGGGAAGCATCGGATATTAAATCTGGAGAACAGGATCAGGTATCAGGCACCTCCTATCTGAGGGTGCTTACATTAGACAATGCTAACTAGGTTTAGCGCTTAGGAAGGTGTGTCTTTTCCTTTTTTTTTTTTTTCAGCTTTATTGAGGTATTATTGATACGCGAAAAATTGCACAGGTTTAACATAGCATCTTGAAGAGTTTGGACATAGCATACACCTGTGATACCATCACTACAACCAAGGTACATATCCATCACTTCCAATAATTTTCTTGTGTTCTTTTGCATGTTTTTGTTTGTTTGTAAGAACAGTTAACATAAAATCTATCCTCTTGCTGGCCCGGTGGCGCAGCAGTTAAGTGCACGCATTCCACTTTGGCGGCCAGGGATCGCCGGTTCGGATCCCGGGTGCCGACATGACGCCACTTGGCAAGCCATGCTGTGGTAGGCGTCCCACATATAAAGTAGAGGAAGATAGGCACAGATGTTAGCTCAGGGCCAGCCTTCCCCAGCAAAAAGAGGAGGATTGGTGGCAGATGTTAGCTCAGGGCTGGTCTTCCTCAAAAAAAAAAAAAAAACCCAACAAAAACTATCCTCTTACCATATTTTAAAGTGCACAGTAACAATACTGTATTGTTAACTATGGGTACTAGGTTGTACAGCAGATCTCTGGAATTTGTTCATCTTGCATAACAGAAACTTTATACCCGTTGAAAAACAATTCCCCTTTTCCCCCTCTCCCCTGTCCCTGGCAGCCACCATCCTGTTCTCTGCTTCTGTTAAGTTTGACTGTGCTATATACCTCACAGAAGCGGAATCATGTAGTATTTGTCCTCTGTGGCTGGCTTATTTCACTTAGCATAATGTAGTCCAGGTTCATGAATCTTGTTGCAAATGGCAGGATTTCCTTCTTTTTTAAGGCCAAATAATATTCCATAAGGTTTTTTCAGCTTTACAGTGGTTTAGAAACATTAACCAAAACCCAAGGCTCAACTTGCTTCAGACTCCTGACTGTTCTGAATTAAATTTCATTCTCTACCTCTTGGCTCTCTCTCTCTCTTCCCATTTTTGGTTAGCTCCACCCTTCCTAATCTTAATCTTCTCATGTTTCCAGTAACTATAATTTTAATGAAATAATCCTTTTAAGGTTCATGTTTTACTTCTAAAATTTACTCTAGTCCTGCTTCATTCATTTGATGAGACACTCTACCTTAATTTTGGACAATGGTTCTTAAATTCGGTTTGTACAGTAGCCAGTAATTGGATCAATAACTGTATATTGCTCTTCTAAAACAACAGTTGTCTTCAATTAAAATATCTTTTTCTTCTGGGCTTTCCTAATTTACACATCCATTTTAGTCTGGGAATAATGGCAAGATGCTTATGGAATCATTTTCTACCATGTTTGACCATCTCAACTTTCATTTCTCTACCTTAAAATAAATAATAAATAATAGGTTACTGTCTCCCATAAGACCAGAAAATCCACAGAGAGGCAGTCTGCTTCCGGTTTGACATTGTGTAGCATTACCAAAACCTTTCTAGTCACTTTCTGCCTCTGGTATTCTTGCTGGATTTATGACTTTTTATTGCTTCCTTGGCACTCACTCTTTGCATTCAATATCTTTCACCTGTGCTCTATGTCATCCTCTTTGCATGATGCTGGTGACAATATTTGAGTCATGCTAGTTTCCACACAATATGTAAGGCACTTATCCCCACGCAGAAGCACAAATGAGGCAAAGGTTCACGTACATTCAGATCTTTTGCACAGACTTAGTTTTAGTTTTAGATTGGCTGTTTCTATATAAAAATTATGTGTTCTGGTTAGGCAAATTTACACAATATACTCCTACCACTGAGTTTCATCCTTAACTTAGAACTCTTCTCTAATTATTTTTGGAGAAGAAATTTACTGTCACTTACTTTACACTTTCCCCAGGTGGAGATCTATGAGAAAATCACAAATTCCTTGGGGCCGGCTGGGTTGTGCAGTGGTTAAGTTCGCACACTTTGCTTTGGCAGCTTGGGGTTCGCAGGTTCAGATCCCGGGTGCGGACATGGCACCACTTGTCAAGCCATGCTGTGGTAGGCGTCCCACATATAAAGTAGAGGAAGATGGGCACGGATGTTAGCTCAGGGCAAGTCTTCCTCAGCAAAAAAAGAGGAGGCTTAGTGGCAGATGTTAGCTCAGGGCTATCTTCTTCTTAAAAAAAAAAATTGAAAATCATAAATTCCTTTCAGTCTTTTCCTAAATAAGTGCTTAAAGTACTAATAAATTGATATATCCATCCTTAGTAATTTATTATGTATTTAATGTGAAATGAATTTCTATTACCATCATCTACCTCTTTTTTGGAAGGGCAGAGCAATGAATAATACTTCACAGGCTTTTTTTTAGTTGGAAACAGTACTTCCACTTTGATATGTGGTGAAGAAGTCAATGTTCATTCTAGCCATGACCTCTGTGGTTTGCAGATTTTTATCAACTTCCCACTCAGCCTGCCTCATTTTTAGCTGAGCATACATATTACCACTCTCAATTCTCCTTGATCATTTTGATTGCTATTTTCTAGATCTTTTCCTTAAACCAAACCTCTTTTTTTTTTTTCCATATTTACAGGCCTCTGAATTTCTTGAATTCTTCTGAGACCAAAAGAAGAATAAATCAAAGAAGAACTCTTACATTGGTATGTAGACACATCCTATTGAGATGCCTAGAGTTACTGATGGAATCTTTCTTCACAGTGCTTTGTCTTATTCAAAGTGCTTGAAGGTTGATTTCTGCAAGGGGGGCGTTCTCCTGTCTGATTTCATCGACTTAATGATTTGGAATATGTGTGACATAAAAATGAGCAACGTATGTGTTGATGGCTTTACTTCCCAAACTCCTATATATTTTTTCTGATATTCTGGCATGAATTTGACTTTTGTTACTAGAGCTTTGATGTCCTCTGCACACTACAATGTATTCACCAACTACTTAAATTTTGGTCCTGAAAAATGAATTCATTTGCTAAAGATTCTGTTGGTATGTAGGTAGGAACAATTGGCAATTTCTAAGGATAATCTTGTCATTATAAGTTATGAGCTTTCATAATTTTAGGGTTAATTATGGCTGGTTTTGGTGAGTGTCCTATGCGTGGATCATATATACATTTTTCCTTGAGACTGAGCTTAACTCTGGGTCATCATTGTTGTAGAAATGAATGAAGCACAGTGATAAGAGAAATCCATAGGGTGTTGTTTGGAATCCACTGGATGTTTCTTGGAATTCATTTCCATGGCTGTAGCTAGACTTGAGGATACGGCAAATGCACTCACCAGAAAACTGTGGTTTGAGTTTTCTTACATAAAGAAAAAGAAGGGAAGAGAAGGAGAGTTTGATTGTCAGGGATGTTGGAAGCAGAACCAAGTTGACATTTGCCATTCTTAAGCCTCTTTGTTATCCCAGAATGCTTCTGACTCTGGGAGCAGTTCATTGTCCAGCAAAACGTCTTTCTCTCTGGTCTGAAGTATACAAGGCAAGATTTTGTATTGCTTTGGAAATATACTCCTCCATGCTGTGATCTGAAAATAGTAACCCTGTTAAGAAAGAGCAGGGACTTAGGTGAATGCTTCAGACATTCATCTGATGAAGTGTTGAGTAAACCAGATGGTTGTTTTCAGATGCCTTGATAAAATATTTTAGAAATCAGAGCTGGTTCCCATTAAAAAAATAAGCCCCCCTGGAGGGATTTGCTTATGACTTTCACCATTTTGTTTTCATTTATTTCAAGTAGTTTTTAAAATTAAGTATATCTATGAGCACAAGCCAAGCTTGGACTATAGATTTTTAAAAGTCGGTGTACTTGACCTTGGATATTTGCTTGCTATCTGTGGCACCTAGTCACCTGGTGCCCTCATCCCGGTTATCAGAGCCACATCTGCTTAGATGGAGTGCGGATATTTGTGCACGTCGGAGCCCAGAACACTTGAATTTTCCAACAATGAGAACACTGGGCGTTTCTCTTTGTGCATGCTAATGGTGTGGACTGATTTTGCAGAATCACTGCAGCAAGTTGTAAATGATGTATGAAATGAGAAATTCCTGTCCAGTGCGCAGAGCGAATATATACAGTTCTGTGCAATCACTGCAGTGCTGGGCTATTTGTTTTAATATTTCCTTCAGACATATAGTAATTTTTTTGGTGAGTCATATCCAGATGATTGCCATTGGCACAGAGCACTGATTTCCTTTATATGTATTTTGAATGAATTTCAGCCACATTTAAGTTTACTTTAATTAATAGACTACTAGATTTTAGAGGATTTGACCTTTAAAAAATAATATTTTTATGAAAACAATAGCAATATATTTGTTTTGAAAAAATTTGGAAATATTGAAGAGCCTGAATAGTAAAATTAGGAACCATTTAATCCCTTTATGGAAAAATATCCTTTGTTTACATTTAATATATATCTTTTAAGATTTTTATCCTTTGTGATTAGATTGCATTCTTTTAGCAAAAAATTATTCTAACTTATTTGTAAAGTTTTATTCCCAATTACCAATAAGACTTGAACATCTTTCCATGTTCTTCTACAATGTAACTTTTAATCACTGTGTACTATTCAGTTACGTAGATGTAGCTTAAAGTTTTACCCATTCCTATTGAACAGTAAATATGTAGATTGTTTCTAATTTTGCTAATGTGAAAAATTTCCTACATCAGTGCTGCAATGTTTATATGGTTTTTGTGATTTCGATAATTATTTGGTAATGCCAACCTTGCTTCTGTTCCTTTTTTAAGATTTTCTTGGCTATTTTCTTTGTTTTTCCATGTCGGATTTTGATGATGATTGGATTGGATTTACAAATGATTGGAGTACAATTGGCATCTCTGGGATATTGAGTTATTCCATTGGAGAGCATAGAGTGTCTTTCCATTTATTGGTAGATTTTCTAACATACATTCATCCTTGCATACCTGAAAGAAGCCTCCCTAAGTTATGATAATATTTTAGAGTTTCTGCATATAATGCCTGTTATATCTGCAAAGTTCTCTATTTATGCCATTTTTGTTAATTTCTTGAACAGTGGTAATTGTAGCTTCATAATATTGACTAACAAGATTTTGCCATCCTCCCTAGCTTTCTTCTGCTCACACTATGCTCTGGAACAGTTTAAATAGCAGAAAGTGACCCGCTCTTCTTTAGATGTAATAGAATTAATGTCTGCATCTGGCTCATTTTGGGGGGAACATTCTTTGAAATGTCTAATTTCCTTTTAAGATTATTGACCTGTTGAGGTTGTTTTTTCTCTCTCTTATTGAATCAACTTTGTTAATTTATTATTTCCCTATTGAAATATCAGTTCATCTAGCAGTTAAAGTTGTTAATATAGATGCATCCAAAATATTGTTACAATTTAAACATTAAACCTATAAATCTATTGTTAAATCACTTTTCTCATTCTTAATATGAGTCTTTTTCTTAATTAGCTTTGCCAAAGGTAGTTTTGAAGAACCACCTATTGAATTTACTTGCTATTTCCATAGTTTTTCTGTTTTCTTACCAGCTTCTTAAGTTGCATACTTTGTTCATTTATCTTTTTTATTTATTTACTAATAAAAATATTTAAAACTATGAATTTTGCTATGATTCCCATTTTAGCTGTGTCGTATAAATTTTGATATTTTTTATTCTTATATTATTCATTGTTTAATAAGCTAAAGTGACATTTTGATAACTTTTATGTCCCAAAATTCTTTTAAAAGAGTAATTTGAAATTTTAAAGTTTTAAGATTTCATCTATTATTATTAATTTCTAGTTTGATTTAGTTGTCTCTGAAATATACCCACTATGATGTTTACTTGAATTTTTTGTTTTTTTTTTTTTAAAGATTTTATTTTTTCCTTTTTCTGCCCAAAGCCCCCCGGTACATAGTTGTATATTCTTCGCTGTGGGTCCTTCTAGTTGTGGTATGTGGGACGCTGCCTCAGCGTGGTCTGATGAGCAGTGCCATGTCCGCGCCCAGGATTCGAACCAACGAAACACTGGGCCGCCTGCAGCGGAGCGCGCGAACTTAACCACTCGGCCACGGGGCCAGCCCCGTTTACTTGAATTTTATTGACATTATCCTTATAGAAGAGTATATGTGATGTTCTTCGGGAAGGAGTCCGTGGGCACTGGAAATGAAAGTTATTTTACTTAGAGTAGAAATTTAATCTTACTAATTATATTATCAATCTCTTCTACATCATAGTTCATTTTCTGTTTTCTTTGGTCTCCTTTGACCAACAGAGGGATGTTGAAGTCCTTTATTAATTTGTTCTTATTATTCTTTAACTCTTATTTATAGAAGTAGTTTGCATTCTGTGAGTCAGTACCGTGTTATTTGACATATAAACATTGTATATTTGCGTTGAATTGTACTCCCTTAATATGAAATCTCTCTGAACGCTGAATGGGTTTTGCTTTGAGTTTTTCTTTGCCTAGCATTAATATTAAAACTTTTGCTTTCTTTTTATTTGTTTCTCTTTAATATATCTTTGCTCATCTTTTTACTCATCCTTTTTGTACTCATTTGTCTTAGGTGTATCTCTTGTCATAAGTACATGATTGGATTTTGTTTGGTGACTCAGTCGTCTACTTTTTATCTTCTGAAAGAGGTTTAAACCTCTTTCAAATATTACTGTAAACAAAATATTAGCCTTACTTCTTTCATTATGTTTTCTTTTTGATTCTTGTACTTTTTTTCTATCCTTCTCTCTCTTTGGGCATATAGACTATCCCATTCTTTGTTAATGTTTCATAGACTATATGTTTGGTATTAAATTCAATTTTTCATTTAAGTTTCTCAAAAGCACCTTAATCTATAGTCTCTGTTACATTTAAAAGCAAACAGCATTTTTACATCTTCTAGTTAAATGGAAGAATGTAGACACTTCCCACCCCCACACATATCACTGTTCTCCCCCAGCCCTGTATTTTGGCCTTTGTTAATACAATCTGAGGTTTTAGAGAAAGGGCTATTTTAAAGATTTTATTTTTTCCTTTTTTCTCCCAAAGCCCTCCAGTACATAGCTGTGTATTTTTTAGTTGTGGGTCCTTCTAGTTGTGGCATGTGGGATGCCGACTCAGCATGGCTTGGTGAGCAGTGCCATGTCCTTGCCCAGGATTCGAACTGGCGAAACCCTGGGCCACCAAAGTGGAGCACACGAACTTAACCACTCGGCCACGGGGCCGACCCCGAAAAAGTGCTATTTTAAAATATCATTATTCTTACAACATATGCCTTATTTTTCATGAATAATGTTTATGATTTCTATTTAGCTTTTAAATAGATTCGCTATAATTATTTTGTTATTTCTATATTTAACTGGTTTCACTATTCCCAATAAGATCATTATATCTTATTTTAGACCTCTTAATTTTTCTTAATCTCTCAGTAAGTTTAAGTATGGTTTTAGATAATTTTTTAAGCAGGATGCATGGTTGGTATGTTTTCTGAGTTCAGACATTTGTGATGACATTTTTCTGTTCTTTGTTTAGGTATATAATTCTCAAGTTGCACCATTTCCCCTCAAAATTCTGTAATTTTGTTATATTGATTTCCACCTCATAGGAAAAGTCTAAGGAAAGCCTTTTTTTTTTTTTAATTGTGGATAATTAGGGTGTGAGTGTGTCGTGTATTGTTTTTCTGTGCCTGGATGCTGGATGTTTGTGAGACTTTATTCTTGTAACTCAACAATTTTGATAGGATGCAGCTGGGTATGGGTTTGCCTTGATAATAATCATCCTTTTCATCTGTAGTCACTGGAATTTTTTCAGTTGATGAGTGTTTTCGTCTATTATAGCTTAAATTGCTAGTTTTGTCTCATTTATCCTGGTCTTTTCAGGAACTCCAGTGATCTAGACGTTGAGACAGTAAGTTCTGTGAAGGCAGGAACCATCCCAGTTCTGTTCACTGCTCTCTACCTGGGTATATAGGTCCAGAGCCTGGAACATTCTAGACAGTCAATAAATATATTTAATGGATAGATGGGTGATGAATGGTAAACCCCATCTCTGACCTTCATATCTACTTTTTCCTCTGTAATAATTTTCATCTTATTTCTTCCTCTGCTTTTTAAGGAAGTTTTGGGAAATGGGCTTTCCAGGAAACCCATAGAGCTGAAGGCTGTCCTTCCAGGCTAACCTGGTCAAGGTTACCTGGGCACTGACTTTGCTTCCCTCATCCCCCTCTCTTCCTTCTCACGAGGATATAACTTGAATGGAACTGTCTTTGGCTTGAGAACTAGCGAAGTCTCATAAGTCTGAAACATTCCCTCTTAGCACATCACTAGTTCAAGTTCTTCCCAAGTGATGATTAAATCCGAGTATAAGGAGGAGGAGGTGCAGCTAGGACTGAGCTTACATCCAAAGATCCCCTCTTGGGCAGAGAGTATCACTGACAGCTGACTGCCTCTATGTCAACTAGCTTTTGCTGCATAACAAACCACCCCTAAATTTAGTGGCTCAAAGCAGCAATCATATATTAGCTCATGATTCTCTTGGTCAGTAGTTTGGGCTGGGCTCTTTAAGTCTCACCTGTGCACAGTCATGTCACTGCAGTCAGCTGGTGGGTCAACTAGAAGTGGTCCTGATGGCCTTGTGCATGTGTCTGGTGTTGGAACCACATGTCTGAGAGTTTCTACAGCAACAAGTGAGAGCAAACCCTGATGCACCAGCACTTTTCAAGCCTCTGATTGCGTCACGTTGCTAAGGCTCCATTGGCTAAAGGAAGTCAGCTGAGCGTCCCAGATTCAAGACCTGGAGAAATAGACTCTAGCTCCTTTTTTTGTTTTCTTTTTGTGAGGAAGATTCGCTCTGAACTAACATCTATTGCTAATCTTCCACTTTTGTTACTTGAGGAAGATTAGCCCTGAGCTAACATCTGTGCCAATCTCCCTCTATTTTGTATGTGGGTTGCTGCCACAGCATGACTTGACAAGTAGTGTATGTCACCGCCCAGGATCCAAATCCTGGGCTGCCAAAGCTGAGTGTGCTGGACTTAACCACTATGCCACGGGGCCAGCCCCAAGACTCTAGCTCTTAATGGGAGGAACTGTCATGTCGTATTGCAATGGCATGGATACAGGGAGTGGGCAAATTTAAGGCCATCTTTACAATTCACTATATTCACTTTAGGGACCCTGGAAACCAAGGGAATTCATGCTGAGTCATATCTTTTCCTGACTATGCTGCTCTCTTGGCCAATTAAATTGGAAATTAATTTAACCATACAGTGTGGGTTTGGTCTCTTCCAATTGATTTGTAATCCGCCTTGAAATGTTACAGTGTGCTCTTTCTATGTTTTCCTGATATTTACTACCTTTAATGTAGATTTGTATTCTGCCAGTGCTTTTTTGGTT